CCTTGAATGAAAAAGAAGATCTGAGGAAACTAGAGAAACAAGCGAAAGATGCAGTGTAATAGAAGTGGCCCACAGAGTGCTCCCTGTCCATTACAGCTGATCCACAAAGCATACTCAACGACTACTGCATCTCTTACAATGAATTCATAAACTTTGAAGAAGAAGATATAAGAAAAATGAAATAAGAAGCAAACCTCTAGTTGAACAAGAAAGAAGAAAAAGACCTGTCAAAGGGAGCAAGTGCAGAATTTTTCAACATGTAAAGAAGACCTTTTACAAGATACTCTGTTCCTCAAATTCAAGTTCTCCAACTCTAACTCCCTATTGAGGTTGTGAAGGGAGCATACATTCCAAAGTGTCTCCAATTCTCTTTTTAATCTTTCCACCTCTGGTTCCAAAGCCCTAAACTTATTTTCTTGACGAACTTGGTGCTCCAAGACCCTGACTCTTTCTTGAAGCAAAACAATTGTCTTCCAGAATGAATCCCTGAGACCAGAGCAAGTTAGGCAAACATTTCTTGACAGATGATTTTCTTTTGGCATTTTCTGAAGAATTTTGAGTTAATAATTATTTGCCCAATGATTTTTAAGAAGATCTTAAGTATACAACATAGTGGAACCTCAAAAATACTCACAAAAATCTATAAAAAGGACAGCTGTTCCAAACAACATACTCTTTTTTCAAATTTGAACATTTTCAATATGCAACCAATAATCCTATGGCTGCTTATACTATTTTGATTAAAAATCTTCTACAAAATACTTCTGAAGATGTAAATGTTGCATCAGCCCCTTATGATTTTCTGCAGACTACTAAAATATAACTTTTGAACACCTATCAGAAGTTACAAAAGGCATCCTGAAGAAGAAACAGGATTATGACTCTTGTGTATGCTTACTATCTTGGGAAATTATTAGAAACAACCCCCAGCTGAACACAAAGATCTTACCTAAATTCACAGATCACCAAATATTATTTTTCAGCTTCTATATGCACATATTACCTTTTTAGTAAAGTTGGAATCCATTAAATTTATAAAACCTGATTCACTACCCTTCACCTAATTAGACAATTGTCCCACTCTGATTTTATTACCCTGACACAAGATTAAAGTCATAGAACTTATAGATTAGTAGAGGAGAATTGTTATACTTGATTTCGTCCAAGATTTTCAATACCCCTTGTCTGATTTTCACTAGCATTGATCCTTGAAATGTTAGCTGTTTTATAATAGTTTTGTATTACAGATTTGTTACTGTATCTTTGGCATCTATTGTATCTATTGCACTTTTACCATTTCTAGAACATTTATTTTTTATTTTATATTTACTTTTTATATTATCTTCACCAAAGTATTTATCTATGTAAATGCTACTATAGTTAAATATTCTGACAAAGATAGTATTTATATCTTAGCTTATATTTTTACTATAGCATATATTTATTTTATACAAAAATATTATAACTCAAATATGTATATAAAGGTTTCAATATTGCCTAGAAATTGATAGGCTTGAACATATATTTTATCAAATAAATAACTTGACCTTTATAAAACAAATCATTATTGCTTCTTTTGCCTGACCTTATACACCTCAGAATTATACTAATTTGTATGTCTCTAGAAACTTTAGCACATCACATTGGCTCTGTTCATCTAAAGTGCCTTTCTGCTACTAGTTCTCCATTTTTATCTTTTTCCTAAGGTAGAAACAATATATGACAATATATTTTACTTGGAATAGTTTTTTTATATTTCTGAAAGTAAAAGTAATATTAATTATCTAATGTCTTTTTATAATTTATTCTAATTATATAATGTTTAGTTATTATTATTTTCTATTATTTAATTATTTTTACAATTATTTTTTTATTACTTAATTCTTTAATATACTATTTTGTTACTATTTTAACTATTTTCCATTACTTTCACTTATATATTTCCTTTATATTATCTTGAGTAATAGGATCAAAACAGGTTTTTTATAGCTCTATTGTGATAATTAATTATGTGACTAACATTACATTTCAATTTTTACTCTCCAATAGTATGTAAAATAGTTTTTTATAAAAAATTATGTTTTTAACAGGCTATATTATCAAATATTATATTAATTCTATTCAACTGTTCCTATATAAAATCAAACTAATATTTTGTAATTTGACTTGTAAAGTACTAACCACTGCACTATAAATTCACAGGTCCTATATATACAATTCTATTAATTAATAATTTGAATTTTTATTATAAAAGAGCTATAATAGAAAAATTATAATAAATAATTTATTAAAAAAAATATTTTTTTTTGATTTAATTTTGAATTAATAATATTTGATGGATATAGCTTTTAAGAATATTAAAAACTAAATTAATAAAAAAGTTTGAAATATAAAATTATTGTATATAATTTTTTTAAGCATATTTGAGTTGACATTAAAAAAATTTTTTTTGATATTATGATTGGTTTAAATATATATTGATTTGAAAAATTGATAAAATTGGTTTTTTAAAAGATCATTTTTTTTGAAAATTTTATTAAATCTTTTGCTAAGTATTTTAATTAATGTTTTATAGAATGAATTTATTAGTACTATAGGCTAAATATTTTGAATATTATATTTTATTAAAGTTTTATGTTTATTGAATTATATACAATGGTTTTTTTTAATTAGTTGAAATTTTTTGGAATAAAAAAGTATTATTAAAGAGATTATAGAATAAAAGAATAAAAGTTGATTTGATTTTTTTAATAAAAAGGTAGTCAATTTTAGATAGATCAGAAGTTTTATTATTAAAAAGGTTATTAATGGTTTCAAAGATTTTATATTGAATTATTGATATTGTTAGTATAGTATAAATGGAGAAATTATTATAAAGAAGAGATTGGCAATGATTAGTTAAGAGTTTGATATATGATTGCAAAATTGGTTATAATTTTTATATAAATAGATTAATAAGTTTAATAAAAGATGTTTGAGGATTTTTGTAATTGAGATTTTGTTATATTATAATTTTAAATCTTTCTTAAAGAATAGAAATTTATTTGTTAATAAATTTTTTTGATTAATTCTGTTTTATGAAAATTATTTTTAATTTTAAATAAGTAATTGAAATATATTTTTAAAAGGCTTTTTAAGAGAGGTTATTTTTTTTAAGCAGGTGTTATGTGGAAGTTTAATTTTGAAGTGATAAAAGTGAAAAGTTAAAGAAAAGAAGAAGAGAAAATTGTTAAAGATATGATTAAAGTTTTTCTTGATTTTTTGTTTTGGAATAAGTTTGTTTGAAAGGTAAGTATTGATATTTTTTAAAAACCATTAATTTACAAAAATAATTCAGAATATAGCAAGTGAATAAGTGCAATGAGGTAATTGAGGGGAAGTGGCAAATAAAAAAGTTTATTAATGAGAGAAGTTTTTTGACTAAAATATCATCACATGACTCTGGCGGCTTAACTTACCTAGTATTATGTGAGTCTGGTCAAAATAATGTTAACAAACAATAGTTACAAACATTAATGGTTTATATAGAATAATATGCTACGTGAAATCTATAGAGAGAAATTGTACTGTTTGTTTTGAACAATCTATATTTCAAGGTTGTTAATAGATTTTTGAATTGTAGATTTCTGATAATAATTCAAAACAAACCTTCTCTAAATATATATTTTTTGTTACCATTGCTCGTGATTAACAAAAGTTTTTATACAAGTATATTGAATGACTTGTATGAAATATTCTACTCTTTAACATCAATTTCTCCACTTCGTTTATATTATTTATAACTTGTGTATCCATTATACTCGTCGTATTTATCGTCAGATCACATACGATATTGTGAGGAAGTAAGAGAGACTGTGCCAAACGCAATGATTGCTTCCCGTTTTTCATAATCTCCTTAGAAGACGAAAAAGAACACATGTGTATGTGTATGCGCTGTAAATAAGACAATAAAGGTATCGATCAGGTTGAATAACGCCTCCAATAAGATATGCATTTTTGGATTGTTATATAAACAAACAAGCAAGTTACTCAAGAATTTGATCGGAGCTAGCGAACGACTCGCCGTTAACCTGTCACACATAGTAAGAAGAATATTCTGTTATAATTGTGTCTTACGTCCCACCGATTGTCCCTGATTAGCCAGCGGTTGACCTGTGTATTTGAGTAATTATTTTTGAAGGTGGACAGGGATTTTTCGGACACTATAATTGTGCTCCTTAAATTACATTGTAATATGTATTGTTTAAAGTAGGTGCCGAAAAAACACATCTATCATTTTCATCGCTTTCAAAAATAATTATCCATTTTTTTTGTCACAGTGGATAACTAACTCCGCGCATGATCAAGTACTTCTGCGTGTAATTGATTGTCAGGTTCATTGTGGAGTTTTATTGTTTTTATTCCGATGCCTTCTTAGGATCTTTGTGATCATTCAAATCATTGTTAGACAAATCAGTTTTATTACAGTACATGCAAGTCCGCGTTGCAGTGCAGTATAGTATTACCATGAACAAAATTTTCTGAATTTCGAATTATCCTTGCATTCACATACAATAAGTAATTAAAGTAGGTATCCGACAATGGCTAATTCGCCAAACAAGGTTGCATATACAATATATGCGTAAACATAAATTTGGTGGAACTTCAATTAATACTGTTATGTAATCGATTGCGGTAAGTTTCATGTACACGTGAATTCCGAAAGAGGTAACGTTTATACAAATTTGAAATGGATGACCGATATTTGTCTAAATTTGTAAGTGTGTTAACAAATATGTCGATAATTTGATGAATCATTGACATTGTCTAAATTTGTGACAAACATTCCTTGAAATGAATTGACATATGGGGACGGTTTGTTGTAACATTTCTACAAAAAAACATAAACGTACTCGCGTCACTTCTATGAAGATGGATCAAGATTTTATGAGCTTTATAAATGAAAATTTCAGAATTAATTTCCCTCGAAAGAAAAGATGTCTGACATTGATAACGATACAATTGAGGAAATTAAATCAACAAAAGAATTCGCCACTGAAAATGAAACTGCGCCCGAAAATCCTGAAAGCGATGATACTATTGTTGAAATGAGAGAAATTTTGGATGACCTGAAGCTATTGGATTTATTTCATTCACAACATACGAGAGCTCCACATCTCATCCAAGGAAGAATAGCGTATTTTTTATACGCTTGGCGTGCCATTAGATACATATTTGTTGCTTTCTACATGGACTGGACCGTAGTCATAAGACACCCATTGAACTTTATTCTCATAGCTATCTCTCTGGTGGTTTCTACAGTTTTATTGGGCATACTTGGTATATTCATAACGATTTACAGTCTACTCCGGTGGTCATTGTTTTTGTCGGATTCACGGTCGAAAGAATTAAATGGTTATGGTCTCCTTAAGGAGGAGTATGAGAAGTATCGTCTTGCGTGTAGCAAATATGGCAAATATAAGCCTTGTGATAAACACGATAGGGAGTGTAAGGGTTTGCGTAGTTCTTGTCAAGAATACAATGGTACGCGTTTTTAAAAAATTTCAAATATGTATTATACGAAAAGTCTCGAATTTATTTATGTTCACGTATTTTGTATTATTTCCCATAGACTATATCGATAATTTGAAGAGTGGAATGAAATTATTAGGCAATGGTAAGTGTTCTAAATCCGATTATACGAAGCAAACATTCCATGTACACGTATTTACTTTTCATCATTTGGCAGGAGATTCAAATGAAAAACAAGGTATAAGATTACTGCATATTATTATTACAGTACACGAACATATGTGATTGACCTGGTTTGATCATTGTTTAGTGCGTAAAAATTATCAAGTTTATAACAAGATTGAGATGCTTCTTTTTCTGGCCAGCATCGTGTATCAACGTGAAAAGGCTATCATTCATTTGATTCATGAAAATATCAACGATCTCAAGAAGGTGCATCGAACGGGCAGTGAAGAGTTAAAGGAGAAAGTTTATGAAATAGTTAAAGAGCAACTGGGAAAGGTAAAAAATATTGTTGACGAGTATGAAAAAGTAGAAAAGTTGGTGGAATCCGGAAATGTAGCTGAGAAAGAGGAGGATTCGGAAAATGTCTTGAAAAGGTCGAAAGAGATCAAAAAGAAGCTAAAAGAAAATCATTTTCGTTTAATCTTTTTGACTTTCTTTCTAAATTTATCTACTTTCAGTGTCATCATGGTTAAAATTACACAGTTCTTTATCAGAAAATTTTTCCCTCACATAAAAGCTGAAGATGGAATGCAAAAGGAAAATATGAAAAGTATAAAAGATTCCATCAAAGGTCTCGTACGATATAATGAACGCCAAATCAACAACCAACTTAAAAAAATTCACAAAGGTCTTGAGTTCACCTCCATCTCCGAGCTGAATACCGCAGACGGGGGTTCCTTTTGTGGAATGTTTTATAATGACGACGAAAATTTTATTGTTGTGTCTTTCAAGGGAACGAGTCCAACTAATTTTGGAGAGTGGATAAGTAACCTTACTTTTCAGTGCGTGGATGCTCGAGGTTTCCTTTATGGTCAAGTTCACCGAGGATTCTACAATTATCTTTTTCCGTTGGATGAAAAGAGATCCGCAAAAGGCTTTCAGAGTTACCCTTCAAGCAGAATCACCAGGGCAATCGGAAGAAAAGCCAAGGATATTAGAATTGATAAAACTTATAAGAACGTATTAGATTTCTGCAAGAACAAACTCGCCGTTACCATTGACGAAAATATTAAGGTCAATGAGGACGATGAAAAAAGCGATGAAAAATCCTTTTGGGAGAACCTTTCGAATGTGATTAAAAATGAAAGCTTCTGGGATAATTCTTCCTCCGAAAGGATTAAAGAATTCTCCAGGGATTACGTAGAAATTCTTTCGGGCAAGCAGGATGACGATCACATGGTCAAAGAAATACTTGGGTTGTTTTTTGATCTAACGAGACCACAGGATCCACACAAAGTTGGTTTGATTAACAATTTTTATTTAAAGGAAATATCTGATTACGTTTGTAGAAAGTTTATTAATAATTTAAAGAAAGTGCAAAAAGTAAATTTATGGATAACCGGTCATTCACTCGGCGGGGGGCTGGCCACATTGTTCTACGCACGTTTGTTAAAGGTAAATTTGGGTGAACTAAAAAACGTCTGCAAACTACGAGATACTGTAACTTTTGCAAGTCCGGCTGTCGGAGATATTCATTTCGCGGCCGAGCTTTCTTCTCTGAAAAATGACCCAGCTAACGAAGATCGACCATTGTGGCGTATTGTCTTGAAAAGGGATATAGTGCCGAAATTGCCGCATAGGGCATGTGATAAAGGGTTAAGGAAATACGGTTATCATTATAACGTGTTAATGAACTATGTTCAAGTTGGAGATAAAGTGATATTCAAAAGCGATGGTTCATTTGCGAAGCTTACATGTGGCAAATTTGTTAAGGAAATTCAAGAACCATATGCAGACCGCGAGTTATTTCTCTCCAAGGATAATTTGGAGGATGAAATAGAAAGATGTGTAGAAAAATACTATGACGCTAATCGTGCATTGAGGAATACCAATCGTTTTCGTAAACTTCTCAATCCGTGTAGAATTGTGGATAGTATAAGTCAACATTTTGTAGGCAGTTATATTGATACCATAAGCAATTATCGAAAGAAGGAGCGAAAGAGTGAAGAAGTGGAGAGCGGAGTCGAAATCAAAAGTTAATGCATGTATTAATGATTCCATCCTTGGTATAAACATCCTTTAACTTTTCTTTGATGTATGGTAATTTAATTATTTATAGTACACATGTTAATAGTTAACCATTATTATTATTCAAATTCTTATTTTTGATATTACTGTATTACGAGGCGCAAGAAGTTTAAATACATTTTGTCAATTGTTAATTGTTATCACATCATTGAATGGTTTAAATTTAATCAAATAATATATTGTATGTAAAAGAAATTTTTTTTAAAAAAAAATAAATCTCTTTAATTCTATCAAGATACTTTAATTCATGGAAATAAATGTATCTATTCAAAAATAAAAAGAAATTTTTGAATTTAATTAATTTAATTAAAAAGCATAAATCAATAATGATAATTCATCCTATCGACTTGAAGCGACAATGTTTTATTTATGCGTTAGAATTTTAACAAGTGTTATAAAAATTTAAAAAAACGAATTAATAATGATTTTTTTGTTCATCATGTATGTACAGTATACATACTAATGCCTGAAAAACAATAATTTTATTGTCAAATTTTTATTTAATACATAAATAAAATAAATATTTTGTATGAATCAAGAATCTTGATGATTTTATATTAAGAATCGTCCTTGGAGATTCCGGAAACGTAAAGAAGTTCTATGATGCTATCCATCTCCGACACAGTCAGTTTAGTTCTTCTTATCTCGAACCTTCTAATCAAAATCATGCCAAGAAAGTAAGAAAACACCAATATCTGAATTCCAAACAATAATAAAAGAAGATAAAATGTTTTGGATTTTTTGCTACGGAATAAGTCTATGATTTTGATTTTGTCCTGGAATTGCTGACTATCATCTAGTTCTTGCACCAACCGTGGAATAATTATTTTGGTTAGAAAGAAAATATATAAGATAATCACTAGAAATACTGAAGAAACAACGATAAGAAATTCGTCAATAATCCTAAATATATCTTCATTATTGTCGGTAAGTAATGTATAGACGGATAATGCTGCTAGCGCAGTGAGAATCATTGAAAATATAATAGCCCACATAAACCGAAAGATCAACATACGTCGCATGTGTTTAACCAGTTTTGCCATGAAATATAATTCTAATCGTGCATAAATTTCTTTCTCTTGATGATTTAATTTATTCAGTTGTTTTTTCTTTAAGTTCTGTGTCCAATTATCTTTGTTTCGAGTAATTTTCAACTCATACTCTTCGGCATATAGTTTATTTATAGTATCCAATTTGCTCTTGAAGGTTAAACTCTTAAGAGCTATCAGACTTCCTGTGAGACTAAACGTGCTTACTGCACCGGAAAAACATGCCGAAAGTATATTCCTGGCCGATGACTTTTGGCTATTTTTCGACGAGATGTAAAGGAAAATGCCGACCACAAGTGAGGCCAAGCATACGATAGTAGTAATAATTAAATTCATATAAGACAAAGACTGAAGCATCTCCCATTTTCTAAACTTTTTTCTTAATTCGACAAAGTAGAATGTTTCTCTTAGAATTTGGCGATCTCCGGTTTCCCCCGGGGCTTTAGAATTTACATTTTCCTTGGTTTCAATTTCTTCAGTTACCTCTGGGACGTTAGAATCTTTAGTTTGAGACATTTTTTTTATTGTTTCCTAGAATTAAAAGAAATTTTTTTGCTCTTTACATTCGAACTAAAGTAGCGTAGATTATATATTAGTGGCTAGCTATTTGTACAATACTAGAGAAAGTATGAGAGAATCGATTCAAATTTATTATTTACTGTATATGGTAATAGACTTCTAAATTTGGGTTATTGATAAAAATGACCAAATCTGTTATTGTACGTGGATCGTAGTCATATATAGTAGAAGCCACGAGTACAAATTTATTTACGCAAAAAGCAAACACGAGTGCTGTACGTATACAAGTACAGTATGGTGCTTACTTTTGATGGGTCAGAAAAAATTTTTTTAAAAAAATCGTAATAACATATCTATCATCGAGATTATGTAATGCCCTAGCTGATGAATTGATTACACAAGAAAAAGACACTTATTTCAGAGGTGGAGAATGGTGCTCAAGATTCTAGAATACGTTGAAATACAAGTGAAACAATTTACTCCGATTCAGTTACAGCCTATTTGGCAAATTGATTAGGATTCGATCATATAAACGTCCTTCCATTAGCCGAAATCGGTAATTGGAATTAAGAATCCGATTGATTATAACTTATGAGAATAGTTATAGTGGCCACAAAAAACAACGCCCAGTTTTCAATCAAAAAAAGATAAACAAAAAAAAGATAAAATCAAAGTTTACTTTATTCTACATAATTTTTTTTATAGTTAATATTTTATAAACTTATTATTTCCTTTCCTGCAACACTATATCAATCCTTTGTGACATTGAACTTACAATAATATAAAGTTGAAATATTAATTAATCCTTGGGAGCAGTTTTAAGCATATTGTATTTCGAAAAGGATTCATATTATTGACATTATCTCTTTAATCGTTTTAAATTAAATTTAAATCCGATAAACTTTTTGACTAATTAATAAATAGTAAATTGTATTTTTTTTAAACTATTCCTAAATAATTATCATTGATATATTATTCTGTTGAAAAATCCTAAGACGTTTTGCTAATCTATGAGCAATATCAACTATGTATATATTGTGACCACTTTTCAATATTTATATTTGCTTTATCAATATATATATATTTATATTTGCTTTATCAATATATATATATATATATTTGATTTATTAAAATAATTACTGTTTTTGTTTTTTAATATAATAACATATTTGTATATACAGTATATTTTTTTAAAATAAATAATTTTTTTGTCACCATATACAAATATAATTTAAAATCACACAATATATTTGTTATATGCCTTTTCAACTTTTCACTTCTATCACCTCAGAACTAATTGACCTGAAACTTTTATATATTATCAATTTGAAAAAACAATCTTTTAAAAAACTTTTCAAAAATATATTCCAATTATTTAAAATTAAAATTAAACTTTACAAATAGATTCAATTAAAAAAGCCATTAACAAATGAATTTTGTATTTTTTGAAAAAATCCAAAATTATATTATAAAAAACTTTTAATTACAAAAATCCTTAAGTATTATTTATTAAACTTACTAATTCATTTATAAAAGAAATTATGATAGATTATATAACTATATATCAAACTCTAACTAATTATTACAAAAATATATTCTATAAAAAAACTATAAAAAAACATTTTTACAAATAAATAAATAATTATCAATTCTTTTTTTATATTAATTCATTTATTTATTCTACATTAATAATGTTAGAAACTCAATATAAAATCTTAAAAATTATAAATAAGCTTTTTAACAACAAAACTTTTGATTTAATCAACTTTTATTTCATTATTTTATTATTTTTTAAATAAGATTTTTTAATACAAAAAACTTTATTTAATTAAAAAAATCATCATACAGTATATACTTGATTAATAAAATATTTATTATATAGTATAAATAGATTTTTTCTACAAAATTTCAATAAAATACTTATTAAAAAATTTAACTAAATTCCATTATAAAATCAATTTTATTAATTTTTTAAATCAAAATATATTTAAATCAATTCAATTTTTAAATTTTGTATATTATTAATATAAAAATTATATAAATAAAAGATAGAAATATATAATAGGATATAATATAAAATTAAATACAAAATATAATATTTGATTTGTAAACATGTCACATATAATATAAATTGTTATAAAAATGTATAATAAATTAATAGAAATTAAGTGCATATCAAATTTATATTTTATAACAATTAATTAAAAAAAAATCAAATAAAAAACTTATTAAGTTCAATTTTATAATAATATAAGTTTTGGTTTTAAATTAGTAACAGATTTGTTAATAATAGCAATAATATAATATTAAAAAATTTTCAAAAAAAACTTGAATTTTTTTACTTGATATTGATATAGCCTTTGATTTTATTAACCTAAATATATTGTCGCGGATCAGGGGTCTATCAGCAGTAACGGCGAAATCCTAGACTTCGCAACACTTCGACAGGGGTATCTGTTATAACAGGGGG